CCCCGCCATTTTTAAATAGCCGCTAGTGCGGCTACCCGCGGCACGGACTAGGTAGTTCGGACTAGGCTTCCTAGTCCGAACTACCGTTACTCCTCGTGAGGAAGCCTAGTCTGAACTACCTAGTCCGTGCCGCGTGTAGCTGCGGGCACGGAGTCCGCACTAGCGGACATTTAAAAATGGCGGCGCCCAGTGAGATGCAAATGAAGCCCGGGAAATTCAAATCCCGGGCTTCATTTGCAACTCCGGTTGCCTACATTACCACTCTAGTTCGAACTAGGGTGGTAGTGTAGACATACCCTAAGTTAAGTGACTTGCCCCAGGCCACAAAGGGCAAGTAGCAGAGCAGAGACACGAACCCAGCTTGGCATCTAGCGCCCTAACCACTGGGCCAGGTTGCTCCTGCTGGAGCCCCTGGGATGGATCCGGCCTGGCTAGTCCAGTCCTTGTAAAGACACCGAGGCTCAGAGAGAGCGACTCAGACACCGCCTGGAGAGTAACTGGCCCATCGATCCCACAAGTTACTCCTCTCATGCTGCTGGGGGCAGATGGGCAGCAAAGAATGGAGGGTCCCCGGTTGCCGAGAAGAGAGGATGGAGGGTTCCGGGTTGCCAAGGAGAGAGGATGGAGGGTTCTGGGTTACTGAGGAGAGAGGAATGTGGTTGCTGGGTTACCGAGGAGCGAGGAATGTGGGTGCTGGGTTGCCAAGGAGAGAGGATGAAGGGTTTTGGGTTGCCAAGGAGAGAGGAATGTGGGTGCTGGGTTACCAAGGAGAGAGGAATGTGGGTGCTGGGTTGCCAGGGAGAGAGGATGGAGGGTTCCGGGTTGCCAAGGAGAGAGGAATGCGGGTGCTGGGTTACCGAGGAGAGAGGATGGAGGGTTCTGGGTTGCCAAGGAGAGAGGATGGAGGGTTCCGGGTTGCCAAGGAGAGAGGAATGTGGGTGCTGGGTTACCAAGGAGAGAGGAATGTGGGTGCTGGGTTACCAAGGAGAGAGGATGGAGGGTTCCGGGTTGCCAAGGAGAGAGGATGGAGGGTTCCGGGTTGCCAAGGAGAGAGGATGGAGGGTTCTGGGTTACTGAGGAGAGAGGAATGTGGTTTCTGGGTTGCCAAGGAGAGAGTAATGTGGGTGCTGGGTTGCCAAGGAGAGAGGATGGAGGGTTCCGGGTTGCCAAGGAGAGAGGAATGCGGGTGCTGGGTTGCTGAGGAGAGAGGATGGTAGGTGCCGGGTTGCCCAGCAACAGGCACTGCTCGGTGGCATCCCATTGTCTCCCTGCCCCGTGGCCGTGGAAGTGGCAGCTCAGGGTGGCTGGTGGCATCGTCTCTCCCTCCAGGGGGCAGGAGGGTGTTCCGGGCCCGGCAGGAAAGGACTAGCCCCCCACGGCTCCTCAGGGGGAGCCCTGCTCCTTTAAGGGTCGGGGGCCAGGGCCAGAAGCTCAGACCCAGCTGGGAAGGGGGCGGGGATTTCTACAAAGGGCTTTGTTGCCCCAGGGAGGACGCTGGCGCATGGAGCGGGGGAGGGGTGCATGGCGCCTGTAGCGGGGGAGGGGTGCAAAGGGCCGGGGTCCAGGTTGGGGGCCAGCGATTCTCAGTCAGGGGGCGCGTGCCCCCGCGTGCCGCCCCTCAGCGAGACCTCAGGCCCCACACACTGGCCGGGCCCGCAGACGGAGGCCGACTCTGCGCCCCAATGCCGATGTGCAATGCAACAGTCACCGTCGAATGGGCTTGTACAGGGCCACTAGCAGGGTCACCGGCCTGAGTTAATTGAGGTTTTACCCCCCTCTCCCTAGGGGAGCAGGTGCAGCTTTGGCCGGCAGAGGGCCCCCTGCTTCCCAAAATAAGATCCCCTGTTGCTTGGTCCTTAACTCCAGTAGTTTTTGTTTCTCCCGCTTTCAAGGGCTGCTGGCGCTGGGGAGGAGGGTTGGGGGGCAGGCTGACCCCGACAGCGGCAGCAGCTCGGGGCCAGGTGAGACGCACCTCTCCGTGGCCTCCATCTCCAGTGGGCACAGCCCGGGCAGGGGGCACGTCCCCCAGCTGGGGCAGGTCCCGGTTCATCTGCCCCCTGAGCTCCCAGCCAGAGCGAGGAACGCAGCAAACGGGGCACTTTCCCCTCGCTCCCTGACGAAGGGACCAGCCAGCTCAGCCCTCCCCGCAGGGCTCCCCTCTCTTCTGCCTCGCCTCGGTCTCTTTCCCGCACCGTTCAGTGAGAAACCCCACTCCGGGTACGGCCCATGGGCCGGGCCCCCAAGCCCGGAGTCTGCTTTAAGTGAGGATCAGCGGAAGCTACGTCCCGAATAGCGGGGTCCTCGCTGTCCCCATTTCGGGGCGTTCTGGGACAGCCAGGCAGGCAGGTGAATGGCCCCCCTGGCCTTGGCATGTGCTCAGCCCCCGGGCACGGGCCGTGGAGGGGGACGGGCTGGGAAGGGAGATTCAGAATCCTCAGATGGGGCCGGACACTGCCCTGCTGGGGGGCCGGCGAACTCCAGCCCTGCGCCCCCGGAGCCAGAGGGCTGCCCGAGCTCGTGTCTC